ACCCCTGCTATAGGTAGCAACCCTATGAGGCATGGTGGCTGAAGTAAAACCCATACTGGACCTCTGTTACTCCCATTTTTGTCTGTCACTTGCCTCTTATTACAGAGGACTACCCATGTCATGAGTAGTCATCAATCATTTTCTCAGGGAGACCCAAGGTTTTTGCTGCCCTGAACCACATCAACAGATACTCTTAGGACTCATTCAAATATAGTTCAAGTTGATATCATCAAATATAAGGAGAACGAGTTAAGAGAAGTTGATTTTACTAGACACTGTATGAATTGGTTTTGTATTATTGGATATTGTAATATGGTTGATGTTAGGTTGGAAAATTTTAAGTAAATATGGTTAATGTTGGGTTGGTCAATTTCAAGTGTTGTAATGAAATTGGAAACGAGACTCATTTTCATGAGCCAAATAAATGAGATATCAAGAGAAAAAGGGGGTATTGTTATGAATAAGGTGTAGTGATTGGCTCATGCAAATGAGGAGGAGTTATTAAGTATGGTGAGAAGAAGTTCTGTTAAGGTTTACAGTTCTTTTAACATGTACTTTTGTTGTTCCAGTTTGGTTTTGAACCGTTTTCTGCTCTCCCTCCAATGCTCCCCTTCCCCTGTGTCATTGCTGCCTGGCAGCTTTGGCCAACAGAGCTGTCAAAAATGTGGGGGAGGGTGTATATTTGTCCCTTGCAAGAGGCAGCAGGGAGTGGGGGACACTTGTTGCTGGGGGCTTGGCAGGGTAACAGCTCACCAGCAATCAAGATGTAAGAGGGGCTCCACCAGCAAAAGGCACAGAGGGCTAACTGACAGCCCTTGGGAAGAGCCAAATCTACTTGTAAGAATGAGGTCGTGGACCCTAGGAGGAGCCAAGTATATATATATGGGCAAAGCCATGGACTGTGGGAAGTGCTGGGAGGGCATGGAAGGACCACGTATGAATATTAATGTGGCTGATGCAACCTTGAGTGTATAAAAGGTGAAGACACTTTTGTGAGCTGAGCTTGTGGTGAGCAGAGAGTGTCACTATGCTCTAGTGCTGTCCCCTCTTTGCTTTGTAACTTTAAGAGATTCTAATTAAATTTATTTACTCATTCCCACCCGGGAACTGAGTCATTTATACAGTGATGAGCTGATCTATCGGGTGAGGAAAGGCTGTGTCCTCAGCTGCTCCCAAACGCCTGGGCGTGTCCCTGTTCCACTCAGTCGAAGTTGTAGTAAAGGCAGAAGGCGAAGAACATGGCAAAAATCTGGAATGATGGAGGTGGGAAAGGGTCAGGCCCATAACAGGGCCGGGCCAGGCCAGGGGCAGAGAGGGCCTGGAGGATCCCTGGCCTGGGGCCATCGCTGTGGCCCCCGAGGGGCCTGGGCCCGCTCTGCTGGTGCTGCACAGGGACACCAGGGCACGGAGACGCAGGGGGAGTAAAACAAACCACTCCTTGTTTCTCCACCTGCCCTGTCTGCAGCAGAGAGCAGGCTCTGTACCCCGAGACCTGAGCCCATTTGCGCTCTCCCTGCCCACTGAGCAACCCCCCTGCCACAAAGAGTGCGCGTTCTGCCTGCCCTGTCCCCGGCCCCCCTCATTACCTCAATGCCTAGCACAGCTAAGCTGCAGGTCCCAGGGAGGGAGATGTACCTCTGCAGGGTCTTGCCGAAAGTAGAGAAGCAGCCCTGGGGCAGAGAGAGGAGGGAGGGCTCTCTCATGTTCCCCATGGCCACAGGGAGCCCAGAGGGTGACTGGGTTGCAGGGGGATGTCGGGGGTGGGGGGTCCTCTGTGTGGCAGGACAAGCTGAAGGCTTTGGGAGCCACTGGAGTGTTGAACCACAACCAAGCAATGTCCCTGGTTTCTGTCCCTTATGCTCACTCCGTGAGCCTGGGAAGGGCCGAGGCTGGGACAGGTACACAGACACAGCAGAGTTGTGCCGTACCTGCTCATGGATGTAGCCAGGGCTTCTGTCCTGGCACTGCTCCCAGCCCAGGAGTTCTCCCACCTGCAGAAGCCCATCCCGGGCACAGCATGCCCGTGGCCATGGCATCCCTGGGTGCAGCTCTTGGAAGCGGGAGCCATTCCCAAAGTCTTCAGGTCCTAAAACACCACAGCATGAGAACTGGAACAGAAGGGAAACATCATCACCATGGTCACCCTTGGTGGATCCTTTGCATTCCCCAGGAGCCTGCCAGCTGCTCACCGTGACCATGAGGGTGTTCCAGGCTGTGGAGAACACCTCAGCACCCTCGTCCCCACCATAGTTCCTCTGCAGCTCAGACAGGAAGTGCTCGGGCTGGACCTGTGGAATTGGTGCCAGTGCTTGGACTGTTCCTCTCCTACTCTACTCAGGATTAGCTCCTTTTGAGGGGAACTGGGCACCCAGTGGATCCCCCCACCTGCTTTGCAGTTTGTATTGTGGTGCTGATTATGGAGGTGAGGAGAAGGGTGTCCCTACACCAGCCCCAGTGGACTCAGAGCCAAGGCCATGGTGTGATAGAGGGAGGCTGGTGACACTGGGGATGGTGCCAGTACCTGTTTCCAGTGCACCAGGAAGAGAACGGCCCCAATGAGCTGCATGAGGAAGACGAGGCTGACGAGGATGAAGAACTGGAAGGCAGCAGGTGAAGGAGTCAGAGACCAGCCTGATCCCACCAGCAGCTTGCTCACATTATCCCTGCCCTCCTCTGCACCAGCCCTGCCTGTGCCCTCTGTCCCCAAGACCAGGGACATGTGTACAGCTCCTGGGGACGGATGCCACATCTCTGACCACTGTGGCTGCAAGGCAGGGGTTAAAAACAAGCAGTGTCTGCAAGGGACCGAGGATGCTGAAGAAATGGGAGTCTTGGTGCTCAAACAGGCATTTTTCTGCCCCTTACCAGCAGTGGAGTCATCTTGGAAATGCCACATGAGACAAGCCAGTGGCTTCAGAGAGAATTGACCCTGCTTGATGGCTTTGCAAATCCTCTGGGCTCTAAACTGAGACTCATGAGGTGGGGAGTGGATAGCAGGACATGTTGAGGATGAGGAGCACCAGCTCCTCGCTCCTCCAGGAACACCTGCATCCCGCACCACCATCCAGCCCATGACTCCCGCCCCCAGTGCCCCCTGGCCATATCCTGCAGCCCCTTCCCAGCCATCTTCCCTCCCTCACCAGCAGCAGGAGCGGGCGGCTCCGGCGCAGGGCCCCGCAGCAGCCCAGGAAGCCCAGCAGAGACAGGGCGATGCCCACGACCAGCAGCAGCCATGCGCCTGCCATCAGCACGGCCCTGGTGGCCACGATGTCTTGGAAACCAGCCGGATCCACGGCCACCCAGACTCCCATGCCTGCCAGGCATGTTCCCCCCGCCTGCAAGGGGATGTCAGGAGATGATCGTGGGCTCAGGGGATGTCCAAGGCTTGGTCCCCTCCCTGGGAATGGGTGTCACCCACCCCTGAGCCTGACAGAAATGTCACCCCATGTGGATGGGGGACGCTTCGACCCTTGGTTCCCTCCCTGGGACCGGTGCCGCCCACCCCTGAGCCAGCTGGAGTTATGGGTCCCCAGGCACGGGTTCCCTCCACCCCTGCACCCCACAGGGCCCAGGGGGACTCACAAACACCAGCACGTTGAAGATGAACATCAGGTACTTCATGCAGCTCAGGACACCCATCGGGACACCGGGAGGGGGGACACGGCAGCATTTGTCCCTGTGGAGAGGAGAGCAGAGCCCTGCCCACAACCAACCCTGACTTGTCCTGGACCCCATGGCTCCAGCAGAATGTGGGGGTATGCAGCTTCCCAAAATTCCCAAATCATTTTCTATCCTCACCCTCTCCCATGACACCCCAAAAAGCCCCAAACCTGTGTCCTCTCCAAATCCATGTTCCCTCCCAACCACGTGTCCCCTTCAAACCCTGTGTCTCCCATCCTTTGTCCCGCCTAAACGCTATGTCCCCTCCAAATCTTGTGTCCCCTACAAATTCCATGTCCCCTCCAAACCCATGTCCTCTCCAAATCCTGTGCTCCTTTCAGCCCCCACACCACTCACCCTGCGGGGATAGTGGGCGACCCAGGTACCTCCAACCTTCCCTGGTGCTGCCAGCACCTATATAACATCACCAAGGTCGGAAAATCTCTCCCCCCTCGCTACTCCAGCAGCCCCCAAGAAATCTCTTCCAGCAGCAAGGCCATGAATGATTGATGGGGAACAGGATCCACCATTGTGCAGCCGGCGGCTGGGAGTCTCCTGCTCTTGTCAGCCAAGGAAATTAAACCTGTGGGCAGGGAAAGACGAGCCGCCCCACCAGGCCAGGGGTGACCTCGGCCATTGATAATTGCTGTGGCCATTCGGGAAAGCCCTCAATGGCTACACGTGGGCGGGCAGGTGATGCTGCAAGGGCTATCGGCTGTTGGGACACAGGGATATCCCAGATGGATGACAGGGTCTGTTGCTTCTTGTTGCCTACTTTAGGAGCTCTCTAAACACAGAATCACGCTAGAAAGGAAATATTATTTATTCTGCACCAGGTACAAAGAGGAGGTTTCCACAAATCAAGCACACCGAGGAGTAAAAGGTTAAATACAGTAAAATTTACGTGAACCCGCATATCTAAAGCATATCCTTTGCCTGCCTAATGCATATTTGTTTTGGTGATATGACTTTACTCGATATTTGAAACTCAAAGTTCTTCATTAAAGCATCTTCTGTTGGAGAAATTGAATTACGAGAGTTAAGTTTGCAAAAGGGGAGAGAATTCATCCTGGGGCCGACGGTTCACCCGGATCGCGGTGTCCGTGTCACCGCAGCGTCGCGCATGGGCCCTCGGGCCTGTGTCCCCCCGCGGTACCCCCGCGCGCCCAGCAGGGGGCAACCGAGCGCGCAGCCACAAAGCTGAGCCGCGCGGCCAGAGCGGCTTCCGCCGGCACCCCAGCGAGGCGTCTCGGCCGATCGCAGCGGGCGGCGGCCGTTGAGGCGGGGAAAAGAGAGACAGACAGTGATTTCGACCAATCATAGAGCGCTCTTTTTCGGGGCGGGGCTCTGGTGGGGGCGCGGCCCCGAGGCCGGAACCAGCGCTGTGCGTTCCCGTTCCCTCAGCGTTGCTTCCGGTGCCGCCGCCGCCGCCCGCGGCATGTAGCGGCCGGTGAGGGACGGGCAGGGGAGCGGGGCGTCCGCTGTTTCCGACCCCCCGGGGAGAGCCCTGTCGCCGGTTCCCTCGGTCCCGGTAACTCTGTGCTGCTTCCCCCCCAGCGCGGCGGCAGAAGGACGCGGAGGGACCTTCACCGGCTGCCTCGGAGCCGCACGCACCCGCCGCCCCGATGGCGTCCCGCAAGGCCCCTGCCGGGGCGGGCAGCGGGCTTGTGGCCGCCGGCCGAGACCGGGAGCGGGAGCGGGAACGGGCGCACCTGGAGCTCGCCGAGCTGGGGCCGCTCCTGGAAGAGAAGGGGGACCAAGGACCCACCGGCGCGACCAGCGTGAGCCCCTCCGAGACCCCGGCGGGAGGGAATCCAGAGCCTGGCTCAGTCTCCTCGCTCCGTCTTCGCGGATATCCCGGGAATCTGCCCGTTATCCCAATAAGAGCTAGAGGAGTACGGCTCCGTGTTGTTCCTCGGGCCGGTCCGTGTTACGAGCCGGCCTAAACTGCTCCTGCCGAGCAGGCATGGAGCCGGGATAGTCCTTCACAGGGATGTCACCGGGATCGCTGTGTCTGTACCGGGTGTTTCCAGTGCCCCAGCACTTCCACGGGGCCGGGAATCACCTTCCCGAGCCCCTTCCCGGCTGAGGAGAGCGGGAGCTGTGCCGGGAACCCAGAGTGTTCCCAGCACGGAGCTGCCTCTGCTCGGGTGGGCCGACTCGGGTCTCCCGGCTGGGCCAAGCGGCCATTCCAGCCTTGGTTGTAAGGATGAAAATCCCTGGTACTAATCCCACTTTTCGACAGGATAAATCTGGGATTAGCATGCCCGGGATGGGTCAGGCAGCAGTGTGTTGCATAAACGAGGGTGACCAGCAGGTCCTGCCCATCCCGTCAGAGGGATGAAGCCCCAGGTGCTCTCAGAAGGGCAGGGATGATTCCCAGGGGTTGGAACCGATTCCCTTCTGGCTCTTCTCACTGCAGACTGAGGACCCACCATGCCCAGTGGTCCGTGAGGAGGAGGAGGAGGTTGTGCGGGTGCTGACCTTGCCTCTGCAGGCTCACCATGCTATGGAGAAGATGGAAGAGTTTGTGTACAAGGTACAGGAACCTGTGGCGATCCCCCAGTCTTGATTTTGGAGCAGATTCCCCAATTCCCAGATTTGGGGTGACAGGATGTGCCACATAAAGCTGCACTGGCTGCAGCTGGCTCCAGCTCTGCTGTGCTGCTTCCAGCAGCATCCCTGGGAACGGTGTGGGAAGGGGATGGCCTTTATGAGGGTTGGCCCAGCCATGGTGGGTGAGAACCTGGGAGCAATTCAGATGTTCCTGCGGGCCTGAGTGGGGCCTGAGAGTCCAGGTGCCTGCTGGGGTGTCACCCGGTGCCCGCAATCACTGTGGCTCCTGTGCTTCTTCCCTGATCAAATGGGAATTCCCACCACAGGGAACAGTCTGTGGGTGTGGAAGGGTTAAAGCTGCGGGTATTAATCACCCCTGACTTCCTGAGTGGTCCTGGAATCACTCCCTTCAGGGGCTGGGAATCAGTCCTTGTGGGAACTGAGGTGGGGGTAAAATGACTCCCTGGGGTGACTGGGAATCACTCCCTGGGAAGTGATGGAGAGCAAAGGGTGGGATGTGGGTGAGTGGCTTACAGGGTCCCACAAGGCACCTGATGTCAGAGAAACTTCCTCTCCCTGAGGGGCATCCCAGGACTGGGCTGTTCCCCGTGGATTTGGGGCTCTGGGCTGCCCTGATCCCCTGGTTTGTTGCAGGTGTGGGAAGGGCGCTGGCGTGTGATCCCGTACGATGTCCTGCCCGACTGGCTCAAGGACAACGATTACCTCCTGCATGGACACCGGCCCCCCATGCCCTCCTTCCGCGCCTGCTTCCGGAGCATTTTCCGGATACACACTGAGACAGGCAACATCTGGACACACCTGCTGGGTGACTGTGGGGAAGGGGGAGCCCTGGGGCTGGAGGTACTCAGACCCTGCATTAGGGTCAGAACGGGCTTGGGACCGGGTCCTCTCCATGCCCAGGGCTCCCTGTGCGGATCCTGTGCATGCATGAGAATCAGACATGGAGTGCCTGGAGCTCCTCAGGAGAGAGGGACCAGGGCTGGGCTCAGCCACTGCAGGAGTGGGACAGGGAAATGTGTCCTGGGCAAAACAGGGGAGCCTCAGAGGATGTTCCTCTGAAATGAGTCAGAGGAGGTCACAGAGATGCTCTGGGGGCTGGAGCTCTTCTGCTCTGGAGCTGGGCTGGCAGTACTTAGCCTGGAGAAGGGAATACTTAGCCTGGAGAAGAGAAGGCTCCAGGGGGACCTCAGAGCCCCTTCCAGTACCTAAAGGGGCTCCGGGAGAGCTGGAGAGGGACTTTGGACAAGGTCCTGGAGGGACAGGACAAGGGGGAATGGCTTCCCACTGCCAGAAGGCAGAGTGAGATGGATGTTGGGAAGAAATTCTTCCCTGTGAGGGTGGTGAGACCCTGGCCCAGGTTTTCCAGAGAAGCTGTGGCTGCCCCATGCCTGGAAGTGTCCACAGCTACGTTGGATGGGGCTTGGAGCAACCTGGGCTAGTGGAAGGTGTCCCTGCCCATACTAGGGGGCTTTAAGATCCCTTCCCACCTAAACCAGTCTGTGATTCCATGACCCTGTGAAACAGCAGCTCAGCAGCTCCTTGCCCTGTGCCTGCCCCTTCCCCTTCTTGTTTACACGAACAGAGGCCTCAGCCAAGGCCCCACTGTGCGTTACTGAGCACGCCTGGGATGCATCCAGGACTTCCAGGAGCATGGCCATGGCTGTTCTTATCCTGTCTTTGCTGAAATTCCCCACTGTCCCTCTGACTTCCCTCTCCATGTGTTTCTGCAGGGTTTGTTCTGTTCCTCTGCCTGGGGATCCTGACCATGCTGCGGCCCAACATGTACTTTATGGCTCCTCTCCAAGAGAAGGTGGTGTTCGGGATGTTCTTCCTGGGAGCAGTGCTGTGCCTCAGCTTCTCCTGGCTTTTCCACACTGTGTACTGTCACTCGGAGAAGGTCTCACGGACTTTTTCGAAGTGAGTCAGCATGAGTGTGGTTGTGTGGTCTCCTGGGAGGTTTTGGGTTTTTGCAGCACTTCCTCTTGGAAAGCACTGTGTTCCCAAGTGTTTCATCCCTGGGGGAAGGGAGCATCAACCAATCCAGCATGGAACTGAGGGGAACCATACCAGAGTTCTGGAAGGTTCTGCCTGAGCACCTTAAACGTGCCAGGTCAGGGGCCTCAGGTGCATGATAAAGATCCTGGGACCCTGCAGCTTCCAAGGGAACAGGATCCTGGCTCCCAAGGGAATGGCTTCTGTGCTCCCAAGGGAACAGGCTCTATGCCCCTTATAGTGAATTGAGGAGGGGTCTCGCTCTCACTGGGCAGCTGGGGGCCATGGCCAGTTTGGCGGGTTCCAGTTTACTGGATGCTTTTGAAAACTTCTGGTTTGCATCCAGTTTGGACTGAAGCCAAATGGAAAGAAGAAACACAAACAGATTCCCAGGAGAGTGGGAAGGCTGGTCAGTGGTTTGTGCCTGTTCCTGGGCTGCTCCAAGGGTCAAGCTCCCATCAGCCTTTGCAGTGAGGCTCTCAAGTGACATTCTGCTCCCATATGGCTGTTAAAGGCATTTATTTGGTTGCTGCTTGCTGGGAATCCTGCCCATTCGCTTTGCACAACTGCCAGAGATCCCATGGGATCCTGTCTCCAGAACAAATCCAGCAGGAATGCCCTTGTGTTCCTGGGAAGGCAATGGGGGCAGTTCAGGGGCTATGTTTCTGTGGTGAGATGAGTAGAGGATCACAGATCCATGTGCACAGGGATTTATTCCTAATGGTTTGAGCTCCATCTTCCTCTTGCCCCTCCCCAGCATTCCCGCTGTGCCCAGGCCCTTTCTCCTGTCGCACCTGCCCAGCACACCCCTCCTTGCCCAATGACTCCACTCAGGTGCAGGCTGGAGAGTTCCCACACATGGAGGGGGTGGATTTTGGGGCTCACCTGTGGCTCTCTGTCATTGCACCCTGCCTGCAGGTTGGATTATTCAGGAATTGCACTGCTGATCATGGGGAGCTTCGTCCCGTGGCTCTACTACTCGTTCTACTGCTCCCCACAGCCAAGACTCATCTACCTCTCCATCGTCTGTGTCTTGGGTATCTCTGCCATCATTGTGGCACAGTGGGACCGATTTGCTACCCCCAAGCACAGGCAGACCAGAGCAGGTAGGAACTCCCCCCTCCAAAATCCTGGGAGGCACTTTGGGCAGATTCCATTTGGGAGAAGCTCTGGGCACTTGCAGGATTCATTCCCCTTGAGCAGCACAGCACTGCAGGGAATGGCCTCCTGCCATCTCTTGCTGTGCTGGGGATTAATCTCCAGAGCCTGAGGTTTGGAGTTTTAAAATAGCCCTGGGCAGGCTGGGGCTCTGCCTTTTCTGCCTTCTCTGGGAAGCAGTTTAGCAGCAGGAGCCTGCAGCTGGGGTGGAGGAGGAAGGCATTCCTGAGCTCTTCCCTGCCAGGTCCCTGTCTTCCTGGGGGTGGAGTGGGGGTCTGCCTCCAGCCCCACGCCCCAATTTACCCCAGTTTTAATGGCAGATCCCATCAGCCTTGCTGAGCACCAGGAGACACCTCCCTCCCCAACTCCCAGGGGTCCTGAAGCAGATGTCTCTCAGAACACTGTCCTGGCTACATGAGTGAGGAAAGACCATGCTGAGACAGAGGCCACCTGAGAGCCCTCAGATGAGGGCAGGGGACAGGCAGGACTCGCGTCCCCATGGCTTCTTCCCACTGCATCTTGTGCCCCCAGCATGAGCAGGATCCAGCCAAGTGCCACCCAGAGCCTCTCCAGTCCAGTGTCACTATGGTGCCACTTGTTCTCTGCCAACTCATCAGAGGCCAAAGTTGAACATTTCAGCTTCTTCCTCAGGAGCTGCAGGAAATTACTTTCCTGGAAGGAGTGGCTGTGTTCCTGGTGCAATCCAAAAGGCCAGCATCTTCCAAAATGTCCATTCCCATAGCCAGGTGCGGGAGCTGCTGCAGCCCTGCATAAGAAACACTGGGTGGGTTCTGCCCAGTGAGCACAGGGGCAGTTTACCTGTGGAACTGTGGGTCCCTCATTTTGTGAAGGATAAGTGCCATGAGGATTGGAGAAGTTTTAAGTGTTTGGACAACGCTTTCAGGCACAGGGTGAGATTGTTTGGGGGTCTCCAGTGCAGGCCAAGAGTTGGACACAATGATCCTTATGGGTCCTTTCCAGCTTGAGATATTCTATTAATTCAGTGGAGAAAAGTGGCTTCCCTAGCACAGGATGAGGGATCAAGGGGAGTTTGTGGGAGGAATGGCTCCCCCTCCACACCTGAGCTCTTTTCCCTGACCTCCTCTCTGGGCCGCAGGCGTGTTCCTGGGGCTGGGACTGAGCGGGGTTGTGCCCACCATGCACTTCACCATTGCCGAGGGCTTTGTGAAGGCCACCACGGTGGGGCAGATGGGCTGGTTCTTCCTCATGGCTGTGATGTACATCACGGGCGCTGGGCTCTACGCTGCCCGCATCCCTGAGCGCTTCTTCCCGGGCAAGTTTGACATCTGGGTGAGTGTGGGGGTGAACAGGTTGTCTGGGGGCAGCTCTGGGGTCAGGGGAGGGGGCATTGAGGGGCTGGAGGCTGGGGGTGTCCGGCTGTGCCTCAGCACATGCTGGCAGGCAGACCTTGAACAGGTTCTGTGTGTGGGCAGGGCAAAGTACAGGGTGGGAATCGCTGCTGGGTGCAATGGAGCGGGGAGCAGAGCACAGAGGACAGTCCTGGAGCAGCGAAGCAGAAGAGGTGTTGACAATGTTGCTGTCCCCTTTGTTGTGGTCTAAAGGCTTTTTTGCTTCCCTGCAGTTCCAGTCTCATCAGATCTTCCACGTGCTGGTGGTGGCTGCAGCCTTTGTCCACTTCTATGGGGTGTCCAACCTGCAGGAATTCCGCTACGGCCTGGAAGGGGGGTGCACAGATGACTCTCTCCTCTGAGAGCTCCTGGTTTTAGTACAAGCTTCCTAAGTGCTTTTTAAACTCTTGTCTTTGCTAAAATCAAAGGAAGACTCAAAACCATTTGGGGTTGTTGGTTTGTTGTGTTTTTTTAAAGAAACAAAGAAATAAGAAATGGATAAGTCCTTTAGCAAAGTTGTTGACCAAATCCTCACCCTCTTCCCCATGCACTGCACTGGGGCTGCAGGGGTGCTCCAGGCTCCTCCAGACAGTGTTTTAGCTGCACCGGGATCACCTGCTGCTCCAACAGCACAGGGAACAGCTCCCTGCTCCCACACAGCCGAGCACATCCCACTCCTCATGCACAGGAGTTCTGCATATCCCCCACAGCAGTGCCTGGCTGGGGCAGCCCCAGGCACGGGCACACACTCATGTAATTTAAAGTTTTAATTGTCCTTTTTGTTTTGTTCCGTTTTCCTTGACAAAGTAATGTAAACATAAATGAAAGAGTATTTAATATTTAATACTAAGCTTTAAGACAACGCGCTGCCACTGCAGTCCTCGGCTCCCTCGCTGTCGGGAGGAAGGACAGTGTTGTAGGGAATGTAGAGCTGCTGTAGCTGATTGAAATAAAAAGGTCAATAGTTCAGTGTCACTGCTGTGTCCATGTCCATTTTTGAGGTAGGGAAGAGAGGGCTCTGGGCACTCCCAAGGAGCAGGGCAGGAGTGCCCTGGGGCAGTGGGATCCCTCCAGCTGCAGTGGACTCTGGACTGGGCTGGAATAAAACAGGAAATTGGGGTGTTGTGGTGATGACAGGGCAGGAAACACAGCCCTGGCTGGTGACAGCTCCACTACTGTGACTTCCCTTGGGGCTCAGTAGGGCAGGAGAGGTGTCACAGGCTGTCTAGGGTGGGGGCAGTGCAGGACAGAGGCTTCTCCTGGTGCACAAGGGACAGTGATTATCAGGGGCTTTGGAGGGGCAGAGGTCAGCACAGTAAGGCCCAACTCACGCAGCAGAAGGCCATAGCCTGACCTATGGGTGAAGGAGTGTAGGCAGAGCCACTACAGCCCCTGTGCCACTTGTCCCTGCCATCCCCCAGAGGTGAGGGTGTCCTTTTGCTGAGCTGTTTGGATGTAGCCCAGCTTTGGAAATCACCCAGGCTCCATACTGTATCAGGAGCTGCCAGCAAGCAATGGTGTCAGTTAGTTAATTAACAAGTTACAACAAAAAACCTCACTGGATGTCATTTCGTAACTGCTGGCAAGAGGGAAGGGGCTTCCACAGCTGGAGTTTAAGGACAAAACCACAGAGCAGATGTGGTAACTGCTCAGGCCAAGATCTGAGATGAAAAGCAGGAGGCTGTGCTGGCAGCAGGTGCAATGCTTCCCCCTCCAGCCCCATAACCTAAATCTAACAGGGAAGAGGCTACATTCCAGCTGCATTCACTGCAGGCGCAACATCCCAGAGGAGACTCCAAGACTTTCACTCCAGTCTGTGTCCAAAGGATGACAAGACTCCATTTGGTCCTTGTCTCAAACTTCCTTGTATTCTACCAGACATGTGTAACATTACAGCAATGGAATATATCAGGAATAAATAGATTTTCTTTTCTAAAAGTTCTCCTGAGCAGTTTGACGTTGAGAAATGCTGCAGGTCCTCCTGGCACGGTGTGTAAGGAACAACCACTGGTGTAAGTACAAACCCCCTCCACATCCTCCAGGTGGGACCACTCAGGAACAGGGAAGGAAGAGAAAGAGGAGGAGGAGGAAGAGGAGCAGGAGGAGGTGCTTGGGGACCATCATTGATACTGTCGGTAGTCACTGAATGGAGGTGGCTGGAGCTGGGATGGATCCTCTGACAACTGTGGGCCTGGAGGAGGGACAGGGGAAAAGGCAAATAAATACCAAAATGCAGGAGATTCTTCCTATTAACAGAACTCACAGCTGGTTTGTTTATATAAATCCCTCTTAAAATGAATCATAAACCCTGGAATTGTTTGGGTTTCATAAAAAAAAAAAAAAAGCAAAAAACCAAACCCTTTTCATAAAAAATTTCAAAAATTGCATAGAATCAAAAACTGGTTGGGCTTGGAAAAGACCTTAAAGCTTATCCAATTCTACTCCCTGCCATGGCAAGGACACTTTCCACTAGTGTCCAGGTTGCTCCAAGCCCCATACAACCTGGCCTTGGACATTTCCAGGCATGGGGCAGCCACAGCTTCTCTGGAAAACCTGGGCCAGGGGCTCACCACCCTCACAGGGAAGAATTTCTTCCCAATATCCCACCTCACCCTGCCTTCTGGCAGTGGGAAGCCATTCCCCCTTGTCCTGTCCCTCCAGGACCCTGTCCAAAACCTCTTTTCAGCTCTCTTTTAGGAAAAGTATGCTGCTCAAGCTGCTCCAAAGACAAACCACTTCTCTCAGAGTTTCATAGAATCCATGGAATTGTGGAATGATTTGGGTTGTCGCAACTGGTGGGTGAACCACCAGGGGAGGGACTATGTTAGATCTGTTATTTGCAAATAGAGATGGGTTGGTGACAGATGTGGTGGTTGGAGGCCACTTGGGGCACAGTGATAATGTAATTATAAAATTCTCAATATTTGGTGAAGTCAAGAGGAACATTAATAAGACTTTTACACTGGATTTTTGGAGGGCAGACTTTGGCCTATTCAGGAGACTTATTCAGAGAGTTCCTCAGGAAGTCTTCCTTAAAAATAAAGGAGTTCAGGAAGGGTGGGCATGCTTCAAAATGGAGATCTTGAGGGCACAGGAACAGACTGTCCCTGTGTGTCAAAAGACAAGTCAGCAAGGCAAACATCCAGCCTGGACAGGCAAGGAGATTTTGAAGGAACTCAGGAACTAAAAAAGGATGTATTATCTTTGGAAGGAGGGTCCAGTTTCTCAGGTGGTATTTAAGAGGGCTGCTAGAGTATGTAAGAAAAAAATTAGGGATGCTAAAGCTCAGTTTGAACTTAAAATGGTGACTTTTGTAAAGGATAATCTGTCCAAAACCTCTTTTCAGCTCTCTTTTAGGAAAAGTATGCTGCTCAAGCTGCTCCAAAGACAAACCACTTCTCTCAGAGTTTCATAGAATCCATGGAATTGTGGAATGATTTGGGTTGTCGCAGCTGGTGGGTGAACCACCAGGGGATGGACTATGTTAGATCTGTTATTTGCAAATAGAGATGGGTTGGTGACAGATGTGGTGGTTGGAGGCCACTTGGGGCACAGTGATAATGTAATTATAAAATTCTCAATATTTGGTGAAGTCAAGAGGAACATTAATAAGACTTTTACACTGGATTTTTGGAGGGCAGACTTTGGCCTATTCAGGAGACTTATTCAGAGAGTTCCTCAGGAAGTCTTCCTTAAAAATAAAGGAGTTCAGGAAGGGTGGGCATGCTTCAAAATGGAGATCTTGAGGGCACAGGAACAGACTGTCCCTGTGTGTCAAAAGACAAGTCAGCAAGGCAAACATCCAGCCTGGACAGGCAAGGAGATTTTGAAGGAACTCAGGAACTAAAAAAGGATGTATTATCTTTGGAAGGAGGGTCCAGTTTCTCAGGTGGTATTTAAGAGGGCTGCTAGAGTATGTAAGAAAAAAATTAGGGATGCTAAAGCTCAGTTTGAACTTAAAATGGTGACTTTTGTAAAGGATAATAAAAAATGGTTTTATAAATATATTAGTGGTAAAAGGAAGAGTAAGACTAACCTTTGTTCTTTATTAGATGCAGAAGGGAACTTAGTAACTGCAAATGAGGAGAGGGCAGAGGTGCTTAACGCCTTTGTCTGTTTTTAGTGAGAAGACTTGCCTTCTGTCCTCTTGGGTTGCTCGATCATATCAGGGAGCAGAATGGTCCCCCCATTATCCAAGAGGAGTCAGCCAGAGAACTGCTGAGCTGCTTGGATATTCATAAATCCATGGGACCAGATGGGATCCACCCCTGGGTGATGAGGGAGCTGGCAGATGAGTTTGCCAAGCCACTCTCCATCATTTACCAACAGCCCTGGCTCACTGGTGCTGGTGTCCAGTCACCAGTGGCGTCCCTCAGGGCTCTGTGCTGGGGCCAGCTCTGTTCAATATTTTTATTGATGATATGGATGAGGGAATTGAGTCTTTCATTAGTAAATCTGCAGATGACACTAAGCTAGGATTGTGTGTCCATTTGTTAGAAGGTAGGAAGGCTCTGCAGAGAAACTTGGAATGGTTGAATGGATGGGCTGAGTCTAACAGGATGAAGTTCAGTAAGTCCAAGTGCCAAGTCTGCATTTTGGCCACAGTAACTCCCTGCAGTGTTATAGGCTGGGGACAGTGTAGCTGGACAGGCAGATAGGGACCTGGGGGTATGGGTTGACAGCCGGCTGAACATGAGCCAGCAGTGTGCCCTGGTGACTACTTCCCAAGGAACTCTCTGAATAAGTCTCCTGAATAGGGATAGCAGGGACATCCCTGCTCTCAGCCATGCCACCTCCCATCTCCCAGCGGGAGATAATCTCATGCCATCAGCACCTGCAGCTCCTCCTTGGCTTTCCAGAGCCTCAGGAGCTGGCAGGGCAGTGCAGATTCACTCTAGGATAAGATGACTGCCAGGGGCACATCAGCAAAGCAAATCCTTGTGACACATCCTCTGCTGGCTCCTTACCATTTGGGAATTGTGTGGAGGCAAATCTTGTCAGCAGAATGCCAGCTCCTTCGATCAGGGCCAGGAGAATTCCCCCCATCGCAGCAGATCCAACCATGGCAACAGGGCCATCTGGAAATGAAAAGCACAAACCAACACTTAATTTCTTTGCTGTGTGTTAGAATCCATTGAATCCCAGGATGGTTTGGGCTGGAAGGGACCCTGAAGATCATTTCGTTCCACCCTACCTGCCATGGGCAGGGACACCTTCCACTATCCCAGGTTGCTTCAAGCCCTATCCAACGTGGCCTTGAACACTTCTAGGGATGGGACAGCCACAGCTGCTCTGGGTAACCTGTGTCGGGGCCTCACCACCCTCTGTGTGCCTTAACCTCTCCTAAAACAGACTCAGAGCAGTAATTTTGCATCCATTAAGCTGCATTAAGGGATAATTACTGGGCAACTCCCCCCTGTCCTCCCTTTAAGGAACACTGGAAACATTTGGGAGCCTGATTATTACTTTCCTAAGCACAGGGAAAAAGTTTTAGATTATTTTTCAGCATCTGAGACAGCAAATTCCAATCAGGGTGTCACAGACTGTTGCTTTGCCATAACAATGAGAACTGTACATTTAGAGAATAGGAGATTTTCAACTAATGTCCCCAGTTTCTTACTTCTTGCAGCTAAAATGGCTCCAGTCAGGGCTCCACTCGTGATGGAATTCCAGGGATCTTCCTTCCCTCTCATTCTGACCATACTGCAGTCAATCATGGAGAAGAGACCTCCCCAGACAGCAAAGCTCCCTGTTCCAAATCAAACCAAAGCCACTTTGGAGAGAGCAGAGAAGCCAGTTATGCTGCACAACAGATGCTGTGGTGTTACTGTGCTCCCTTTCAGACATGAAGTAAATTCAAACTCATGAAGAGCCAAATACAGGTTAAAATCAATGCAGGGAAATTTCCAACTTGACATGTCATCATTCCCCTCTTCCCCATTTTACATATGATCTCACTAATCTACAATTAACTA